GCCCCTTCCCAAAATTACTTCTACGGAAGGTTTCCAGATGGATATGCGGAGCAAATCCATCTGGCGGAGTCAGGTTAGTAGACTCTAGCTTCACTTTGTGATGCGTTCACTGATCCTCGGAACAAGACGCTTCTTATGTACTGATTTATTCTACAGCTGTTTCCCAAACATCAGCCTGGTAATTTATTCACTGAATGTTTATCTTTACACAGAAGCTAAACTTATATTATTTCATATCCATGATTTTTTTTTTATAAAATTTGCCCCTTTTTGTCCCATTTTTTTATGATCTTTTGAAGCCTGCCTCTCTGATTTTCTGTTAGAGTTTAACCTAACCAGCCAGATTTACTTTGGTAACCGTTTCTATCTTCTAATCCCGTTTTATTTTTTTAAAATCACTTTTCGACGTGACGACTCGTCTCTAGACCTGGTTTCCAAGCCGCGATGCAGACGAGGACTTTCCGCCGCGAAGGAGAGATTTTCCTTTGATCAGAAAGCACATGGAGACAGAGCCTTTGTTTCTTTGTCTTTGCACAGGATGCCGGCTCACCTGTGAAGGTGAAGATCTTGCGCACGTTGGTGATGCTGAACACCTTCCTCTCGATGAGCCAATCAGCAGCCACGGCGGACAGCAGCGAGGCGGGTATGCTGCCGAGGTACGGCAGCGCCGACAGGAAGCCGTTCTGAAGCCCACAGAGATAAAATCAGAGGTGAGGAAAAAATGCAGCTTGTTTTTATACAGAAACAGGAAATCTGGAAGAGAAAAAATATGTTTACTACTCAACCTTTTCACTATTTATGTAATTCCTAATGCATTCTATATTTTAAAATATCAAAAGGCAACAGGAGGAAAAATGTGAGAAAAGTGGAATGAAACAGGAACAAAGGAAAGTCAGAATAAACTACGTTTAAGCGTAAATAAAAAGTAAAAAAAAGAGGCATTCAGTCTGTTGGATCCTCAGATAGTCCGGTGGATCATGTTGATGATGAGTTTATGGAGGGAATTTTGTTACATTATTGTTTAAAATACATTTTCTGACATGATTTATCACAAATGGATCGCGAGGGGTGCTGGTGCGTATCTCCAGCTGTCTATGAACGAGAAGCGGGGTTCACCCTGGACAGGTCGTCTGTCCATCGCAGGGAAACACAGAGACAAACAAGCAATCACACCTAGGAGGATTTAGAGAAGCCAATTAACCTAACAGTCATGTTTTTGGACTGTGGGAGGAAGCCGGAGTACCCGGAGAGAACCCACACATGGAAGAACATGCAAACTCCATGCAGAAACACCGGGAATTGAACATGCAACCTTCTTGCTGCAAGGCAGCAAAGCAACCCACTGCCTCACTGAGCAGCCCAGTTTCACAGAACAGGTTTACTAAATGGAAATATGAAAATAAGTAAATGAAATGAATAGTAATTGGAAAAAAATGTTACAATGCAGAATTAAAGCAAAATAAAAAAATAAAAAAGGCATTAACCCCTAGAACCCTACGGACCCACCGGCGGGTCCAGCTGCTACGTGACCTCGTAATTTTACCAAACCCCCAGTATTGATGTAAAAAACACATTTGGCACAGTTTGGTGACATTTTTGGAGAAATGTGCCAAAATGGTAGCCTGGGTGCCAGTCCGAACTTAGTCCCGCCCACAAGGTTTGAGTTCGGGGAAGTTC